CTGCCAGATACTGGGTACATTAATAGTTCTGGCAGATACTGGGTACATTATTAGTTCTGGTAGATACTGGGTACATTATTAGTTCTGGCAGATACTGGGTACATTATTAGTTCTGGCAGATACTGGGTACATTATCAGTTCTGACAGATACTGGGTACATTATGAGTTCTGGCAGATACTGGGTACATTATCAGTTCTGGCAGATACTGGGTACATTATTAGTTCTGGCAGATACTGGGTACATTATCAGTTCTGGCAGATACTGGGTACATTATTAGTTCTGACAGATACTGGGTACATTAATAGTTCTGGCAGATACTGGGTACATTATTAGTTCTGGTAGATACTGGGTACATTATTAGTTCTGGCAGATACTGGGTACATTATTAGTTCTGGCAGATACTGGGTACATTATCAGTTCTGACAGATACTGGGTACATTATGAGTTCTGGCAGATACTGGGTACATTAATAGTTCTGGCAGATACTGGGTACATTATTAGTTCTGACAGATACTGGGTACATTAATAGTTCTGGCAGATACTGGGTACATTATTAGTTCTGGCAGATACTGGGTACATTATCAGTTCTGACAGATACTGGGTACATTATGAGTTCTGGCAGATACTGGGTACATTATGAGTTCTGACAGATACTGGGTACATTATCAGTTCTGGCAGATACTGGGTACATTATTAGTTCTGGCAGATACTGGGAACATTATGAGTTCTGACAGATACTGGGTACATTATTAGTTCTGACAGATACTGGGAACATTATGAGTTCTGACAGATACTGGGTACATTATGAGTTCTGGTAGTTACTGGGTACATTAATAGTTCTGGTAGATACTGGGTACATTATGAGTTACCTGTTTTAACGTGCACTAGTAAAGGATCTCTTCCACACTTTCAGGCATATGGGGAAATATGGCTAGACCAATCAGCACTGGGAGGGTGATATGATCAGCATCATGCCAGCCAACTTTGCTTCCTAGGACTATAACTGGTACGCATTTTAGTCTGAGTTGATCACGGAGTTAATCTCAGTTTTTTTGGGGTGTGCACTAGGACATAACGTAATAAGGTAAGGTGACCTCTTGCCTTCCCATTTTTTTTCCTTCTCATACAATTTCTGGAAAACTTGTCAGTTATTTATTTTTACTGTGGAGCTGCTGTGGTGTAGCAACTACGTGATCGGTCATGGATCACAAGGTCATGGGTTCAGGTCCGATGAAGATAGATTTTGTTTTCTTTTAAAAAATTACTAATGCTTTTAGGTTGACCCAGCCTTAAACACGCACTATGTACAGTACTGGAAAGTAAAGGGGAGCGGCAGCTCTTCATGCCCAATACGCCTGAAGGTGTGGAGAAGGCGTCCATTAGTTACTTATTCTACAGGAATGGTTGGATGCTGGAGTAGTGAACCACATGTGGCAGTGTATGGAGATCATACCGCAGGGTTCATACTGGTCAAGATCTATCTACAGCTCTTCAGAGTTAACCTAAAAAATGTCTCTACGAGGCCAACTTAGATAGGACCAACTATTCCTTCAAAGTTGGACTGCTTCTGCCTAGAGTCAAGAAATCAACAGGCTGCACACAATAAGCCAGATCTGTTAAGCAGATGAGCATGTAACTTTACAGGAGTTTACAGCCGGTGAATGCTAGGAAACCTCTCATATAAAGCACATTCATTCCCACTCTATGCTACCAGTGTCAGACATGGTCACTCACACACAACAAACCATGAAAGAAATTAGTAACCACAGAAATGAGATATATGAGAAGGGCTTGCAGGGGTGACCAAAAGATATAAAATCAGAAATGAAGTGATAAGAGGAAAAGTCGGAACAGAAACCATTCTAAATTGAATGCAAAGACAGCACATCACATGACTTGCCCTCTTAGAAAGAATGCTTTGTGACGCCAAACAATACAAGGCACACACCAAAAGAGGACAGCACAATGTAGATCAAGAATAAGGTGGAAAGATAACGTCAGAGAAACTTTACAACAGCATGATGTGTCTATAGTCGAGGTGGCCAGAAGAGCAAGAAACAAAACCTTATATCACCCTTAACACCCGAAGGAGTAAAAGAGGACATGAAGAAGAAGAAAATAATGTTTATTAAAATATGGAAGCTGTGATGGTAGAGTGCTTAATATTCTAGCTTGTCAAAACAGCGGTACCATACATATGGCCTATGCGATCGCTGAAGATTGTAAAGACTTTTCCGCTGTATAAGTATTAAGTTTTACATGTGCACTAACCAATACATAAAGAGACTGCAAAGTATGTATTCTGGTGATTATGAAAAACTTATAGCATTTCTGGTGTAAATATAAAATTATTGTATTACATAATTCATAATTCTCATACCTTGTGATAGATTATTGAAACAAAAATATCAAAAAGTATACAATTGAAAAGCATTAGTATAGTAAGATAAATATATCATCTGATTTAAAATAAAGAAAAAAAATATGACTGAAAATGCGGAGGCACTAAATTTATGCTGTTATATGTGAGCCTTTATGGTGCGATAGTTTCATAAGAACTTTGACGTTATTGTATATGTGACCCTTTATCCTGTAAGAGTTTCACAAGAACTTTGATGCTATTGTATATGTGAGCCTTTATGATGTGACAGTTTCATGAGAACTTTAATGTTATTCTATATCTGACTTTATGGTGTGACAGTTTCATGAGAAGTTTGATGCTATTGTATATGTGAGCCTTTATGATGTGACAGTTTCATGAGAACTTTAATGTTATTGTAATGTAACCTTTATGATATGCGTTTCATGAGAACTTTGATGCTATTCTATATCTGACTTTATGGTGTGACAGTTTCATGAGAACTTTGATGCTATTGTATATGTGAGCCTTTATGATGTGACAGTTTCATGAGAACTTTAATGTTATTGTAATGTAACCTTTATGATATGAGTTTCATGAGAACTTTGATGCTATTCTATATCTGACTTTATGGTGTGACAGTTTCATGAGAACTTTGATGCTATTGTATATGTGAGCCTTTATGATGTGACAGTTTCATGAGAACTTTAATGTTATTGTAATGTAACCTTTATGATATGAGTTTCATGAGAACTTTGATGCTATTCTATATCTGACTTTATGGTGTGACAGTTTCATGAGAAGTTTGATGCTATTGTATATGTGAGCCTTTATCTGTAAGAGCTTCACAAGAACTTTGATGTTACTGTAATGTGACCTTTATGATGTGATAGTTTCATGAGAACTTTGATGCTTCTGTATATGTGATCCTTTTTAGTGTGAAAGTTTCATGAGAACTTTCCTACTATCATATTTTTGACCCTTTGTAATGTGATAGTTTGACAAAAACTTTCAGGTTATTTTATACATTTTGGATGCATGACATGAAATTTACCTGTTGATTTTTTAGCATAATATCCATTCATACTGCATACAGTTGAACAGCAATAAATCATGCATTATAACCAGACTTAAACAGCTAGTAAATATAGTTAATTGTATCACACACAAAAAATAAAGAAGGATTTCTTAGCCAAAGATCCATCATCACTTAGTCCCATTACACCACATGTCACTGGGTCACTTATTGCCTCCAGTCAGTTAAGGATCTGTATCCAGATCTTTCTTGGTCTGCCTCTTCTTCTCTTCCCCTCTATCAAGCTCTCTAATATAGTTTTAGAGATGCTGATAGATCTTATTACATGTCTGTACGATTACACATCTGTCTTTTCACTGTTGTTATAAGATGCTGACAACTGCCCATGGGATCCATACATACTGCATAAAAAGGAACAATTATAAATCCTGCTGGTAAACATAAACAATTAGCTAGTGACTACAGCTTACTTTATACCTTCAAAAAAAAAAAAAAAATAATAAATGCAATTTAGCCAGAGATTAACATTTACTGCATAAAGAATAATTCACATAAATCTTGTATACAACAACTGAGAACAAATATTTAACTTTATATCTTCAAATAAAATAAAGAATGAAAACTCATTAACTGACTCATCTGTCATCTGTTGAATACAATGAAGCATAAATAATTAACCACTGCTAGGCTTGCATGTATTATGTTTTTGTTTTTTCTGGGTAATGTTATTTCACAACTAAATTACCAAAAGATGAACATTTTGAATCATTACATTGAGAACAGTAGGTAATATTTAACCTTTACTGGATGATAGATCTGATTTGGCTATTTACGGTATTTGTAAAATAAGACAAACATTCTTAACTGGTGTTTTTACAAACAATGTCATTTTGTCTTGCTCAAATGTTTAAATATTTCCTTAAAAACCATGTGTAAGATCCGTACTTTTTAACTTTCTCAGTCTAATGGGATTTTTACAGCAGATGCCAAAAGGGTTGTGGGGAGGGCAATTATAATGGTGAGAGTTTACCAGTAAATTCTCTTTCATAGTTAAGTAGCTACTGACAAAGCCAGATTTCTTAAGTATGCTCAGGTCAAATGTAAAAAAGTAAGAGAAAACATTACACAATTTTTAGACTCAATATGAGAGCCCAGTCAATTATCAGGTTTTTTTTTTTTTTGTAACTGAAAAGTTTAATTTAAATAATCAGAGGAAACCCTTTATGACCTTTGAGAGGTAATCAGCAATCTGATTCCTCCTCATATTTTCCTTACGAAATTATAATAACATGCTAAATAAATACACAACTTACATTAAAAATAATTCTGAACAGCTTAAAACAGAATATAATACTGCCCTTTATTTTTTTTTTTTTTTTTATGTGACTAATTTAAACTAAAATTCTACTTTCTAAAAAAATATTAATCTATTTACATATGCGAGTAGTCCAGTTAAAAGTCAACACTCATAATATTAAATATATCACGGATACAGAAAGTAACATACACTCGCGTGTAACTACAAATGAACACATATATTCAAGAATGTGCAAAGTAAGGACAAGACAAGTCTCATTAAGTGACACAGGCAATGCTCTGTGAAATTACAAGAGACTGCATGACTTTGCTTTTCCATTAGCAGTTTCCTTCTCCAGTCTGATGATTTCTTGCACACCTGCTACCATTTCTTTCACTGCTTCATTTTCAGTCAAACCTAATCTTCGTTTGTTTGAGATGTCATAAATTCCACCTTCACTGTCTGTGTGCTCTCCATGAATTCCTGCATTAAGGAAAAATTAAAAATAAATTAAAATAAATATTCTAAAAGTGAAGGTAAAAGCTTCTTTTCAAATCTTACGCATTCCGCACTGGGTATGTTTCCATATTTTTATAGACAAACCAGCTGCCTTTATTTCCAGGACATTTTCCTAGTAACCATTTTAGTTGTGGTCAACCTGGAAGCCAATGACATTTTAAGTAAAATCTACCGCGGATTGGATTTGAAACTAAGACCTTCTGCGTTAGGCTACTGTTGCACTCATAAATAAAGTAGCAACAGTAAATTCAATTACACTCTGACTTTTTTTTTGTTAAATTGCTAAGAATTTTTTTTAAAGTTTAAAAAAAAGAGGACTAACTTTTAAAATATTTCTATTAGTCACTATGCTGCCTTATTTGTTTGGTCTTTTTTCTTCTTCTATTTTTTTCTTTTTCTTATTTGTGTACTATCAGAAGATGAAGAAAGTTTAAATACAAGCTTTAGCTTGTGCTTTATTACACTGTGGTGTTGACTGATATCACCATGCTATATATCCATAATTTGTGAGAAAATCTTTTTATTTCTGATTTCACTCATCAAAATACAATATTTGAGACTTATCACCAGAGGAAATGGAATAGAACAATGGCTTACCATGAGAAAATACTTTGCAAGAAAGGTCAAGAAAGCTAGAGAAAGATATACACAGAAAGTTTAAATGGCTAGGCAGGAAACAGTAATATTGTCAGTTACATTGTACCGTGTTGAACTGCATGGGTGATAATATTCTTCCACAAGGTTTTGTCACCCAGCTGCTGAGCTGAGTGTTTGGTGCAACACTGTGAGCTGTGGATTCCACGTGGAATTTGTCTTCTTCTGCTGAGCTGACCACACTAAAATGGCAGGTGGCCGATTACGTTCAGAATGCCAGCTTTTTGTAATTCCATCAGGACCCGAACTCACGACTTCCAGATCTGCAGGCAAGCATCTAGCTGCTACACCACGGCAGTATCCCATTAAAATATATGTCAGAGATAACTGGAGAGCAACTGACTTTGGTTAGCAAAGTATCCGAAGAGAAAAAACAAGTCTGAAGAGTTACTGCTTTCTATGGAAAACTACCCATGATCTCATATTCATGAGTGTTAATTCTCAGAGCCACCATGATTTTTCTGACACACAGATCATGGCCATTAGGGCTAGCCATTCAAAGTAAAGAGTCTGCACGTCTCTTAAGAATCATCTTATATGTCAGCTGGGTTCCCTTATTCCTAAGAGCTTGAATGTTCAACACAATTTCATAAAAAATAAATGTTGAGCTTCCTTACCATGTCCAGTCTTTGTATCCTCCAACATCATGTGTACATAAATGTGTCTACTGTTCATGCGTATTGTAGAGACTTTGTGACAATAAGTTAATATATGTATTTGTGACAATACGCTCGGTGACTCCAGAATGTCTTTCCTCAACCTACTTTTATTTGTATGTATTTTGAAGCATACAGACAAATAGGGATTTGGATACATCCTTAATCTAAGTAGGCGAAATAAACAAGCATTTAATTCTCCTGGGATGTTGGCGATATCACACACTAAAACTTTTTCCCAGACGTTAAGTGTTAAGGTACAGAGATAAGACTGACCAAGCAGACTTACTGACTGGAGATTTGCACACCATTTGTTGGTGTCAGATAGTTATTCCCCCTGCCAGATCTTCAGGAACAGATAACAAGGGCTAATTGGCCATTATCTCCCCCTGAGGTTACCTAACTCGACGGCAGGTCCGACGGTCACTATTGACACAGTGAGCGGAAAGTGTTGGCAGAAGAATTGACAAAGTCGGATTTTATTGTGATGGCAGGTGAAGTAGACTGGAGGTGTAACTTGGCCTATTAGCTTTGACCAGCTTAATTGAACCAGGAGATCCTAGCGTGGGAATTCAAACAATAATTGTACAGTCCCTGACTGACAGCGAATAAACTTACCCACAGGGAGGAGCTATGACATCCTTGAATGAGAATGATTTTAGGCGTAATGTAGGAGGAGCTTGATAAAAGTTATAAAGTGGTGAACGCTAGGTCTGGTAAATGAGATCCTGTCTAGCACATGCCATCTGTTGGGCTTAACCTAAGCTTGAGACAGAACTTTTGGCATCGTGGTTTCATTTTTCCAGGTAAGATCGAAATTAGGTTCAAATCTATATTTTATGATAGAGTTCTAACTGTCTTTTTACTGAAGTGTGTGTCTTCATCACTTTGTAGTACTCCTAGGCAGACATTTCTTCATTCTCGTAGGGCACTGTCACATTGCTTTATATCCTATTTGATAGTGTCATGAATGTTTTTCGTGCACATGTGTTTCAATGTTGTAAAACCTAAATGTTGTTGTTGCCATTGAAATTTAATGAACTATCATGTTTTTGAAATCACAAGCGTGAAGATAACTTTGGCAATCTTTTCACGTGTGGTTAATGTGAATCTGTATTACATACAGCTTACACACTGAAATGTGTTTAACTCTCGGGAGGCTAATGCGGAGATTGATCCCGGAGAGTAAATCCACGAGATTTGTTATTTGATTCGCACCAGAACTATTGTTAGCATTCTGGGCGCGTCGATTGTTCCAAGCATAGATTCCAGAACTGGTTCTGTCTGACTGATTGTCAATTTGAGTCTGTACGAGAGATGGCACCTGACGTAGAAGACTTGACTATCATTACAGGACGTGTAGAGGAAGGCAGAAGATGTAACAGTTGGAATGTGAGACATAAGCCCTTCCAAATTGGACAGGAGTGAATGTGAGCATGAGGGAGAGATGAAATGTTTTATTTAAATAAACATGCTTGATGTTAGTATAATTAGTTAGTTAGTTAGTTAGTTAGTTAGTTAGTTAGTTAGTTAGTTAGTTGGGTTATCCTCATTGCACTCCGGACATGTCCATAGGTGCTCAGATCCTCCCCTCAGTATGAACCCCAACGTCCGATGGCTAATAGTACCAGTTCTATGTTGATTAACAAGTCTTCTGGCGTAGCTGGTGTGCGTCTCGTTTTTTGCTGTGCCGATCTTAATTCCCAAGTCTGCCATTCTGGCGAGTGATGTGGATTCACTGCCACCAAAGTCGTCTATCCTTCCCATTTCTCTGAGGGCATTGATAATATCAGCATGATCCATAGGCTGACCGTCGGTAGTGAAAGCGGATCCAGCCAACCTGTCAGCTCTTTCATTTCCATCGACGCCTGCGTGTCCCGGAACAAAAATAAAGGTGACTCCACGGACAGTGGACTTCTGTAATGATTCAAGCCATTGCCTTCGCACTGAACCTGCCTGAACCCTCCGGATCATACTCATTGAATCACTGAGTATACACACGCGGGTGTATTTTTGTGTTTCAAGCCAGGCAAGCGCTTGTGTCACTGCCATCACCTCCATCGTCATGCTACTGGTTGTCATGGAGAAGGCGCCGTTGGCTTCTTTGACTGTTCTGCCCGCTGAGCGTGCTGTAAATGCCCATGCGCTTCTTCTTTGGCGTATAACGGATCCGTCTGTATAGATTATTGCATCTGCTTCGTCTGAATTTTCACCGATGAGAGCGTTGACCTCTGCATTAACAGCAACAGGATTCTCTTCTCTACATCGCCTGTTGAGTGTGGCAATACAGGAAAATGTACAAATAAACGCCTGAGGCACAGGTATCCATTCTGCACCAGGGTATGATGTCGGTTAGGCTGCATATTTGCCTAATAACATCTTCTGCCCGACCTAGCCACGATTTCCCCCTCTTCAGTCTGTCGCCCTTTTCACTAAAAAGCGCTTGATGCAGTGGGTGTTTCTTATCAGCACATATTTTGAGATATGCCCGAGCCCTCCACATCCTGATCCTTTTGGTTCATTGTTGGAAAGTCAAGTAGATACCTCATTGCTCCACAGGATGTGTCTCTAGTACATCCCAAAATAATGCGCATGGCTTCATTTTGCACCTTTTCGAGTCGTTCAATCTGGGTGGCACTGACAGTGAGGATGGCCAGAGCGTATTCAATGGGGGAAAGGACCAGACCGTAGAATAGAAGTATTAGTAGTCTTTGCTCAATGTTGGAAGCAGCCATAATCCTCATTGCAGATAGACCTTTGCGTGCTTTTGTTATCACATGGTCAACGTGTTCCCTGAATGACAAGCTGCGATCGAACCTCACCCCGAGAAACGTCATAACGTTGGTTCTGATCAATACATTATCACGCATTTTCACTTCTGGTAAGTCCGACTTGACAATGTGATTGTTCAAAGAGAACCATGACACTGATGCCTTCGAAGGATTGACATAGGCATTGGAACCATCACACCAGGCGGCAATTCGATCGAGTTCTTTGTGCATAGTGCTGGCGATCTCCTGTCTATCACGCCCTCGTCGATAAATCAAAATGTCATCAGCAAATGACAAAGTCCTCCCCTTTCCAGTCAACTGCTGCTCAGTGATCATCACCGTATAAACGTTGAATAAGACTGGTGATAGCGGTGATCCCTGTGGCAAGCCTGGACATATCGTTTGCGGTTCTGAGGACCAGCTACCACATCTTAGTACAATCTTTCTCTGGATCTTTCTCTGATGTTAGTATAATATACATGCTTAGTGTACATCTAGAGCAGATACTACAAATATGCGCTTGTTTCTTTATCACAGTTCCCACATTGGGCAGGGACTAGTAGGCATCTATTATTTGCCGACCGTCGAGTGTAACGACCTGCAGAAAGCAGTGAGGACGACAAACTGGAAAAGATAGGCAGGGTCTCAAGCCGAGAACTGTCCGGATGAGCTAAGTTATGTACAACTTTAATGTCATCTATAACATCATCAAAACTAGCCTAAACAAGTTCATTTTATTTTAGTCAGATTTATTAAATAAATCTTTTTGATGTTGTTACAACAGAGTTAAGTAAATTGTGTACTTAGGTTCAAGTGTCTTTGTGCATATTAGTTTACTTCAGCTAACAAATATTTAAATCACTTGATGGGGGCTTTTTTTGCAATGCCAGGAGAGGAGACCAGTCGCAGGGGTTAACTGAGCACCTGGATTATATCACAGTGGGTGTATCCAGATATCTATCTAGCCCTTCTCCTTCTCCTGTGGATACAAGTACAGAAACTTTCATTTCATGGAACGAGCCACTCGCTGTTTTCTTGGCTATCCAGGACTGTCTAGGATCAACATAGCTTAGATAATAGTCCAGTTTCTCACGTGGGTGGGCATTGTTAAGGTTCAAACCCACACCCTCACTATATCAGTGTATTTACCCACGTGGGCGCGCGACAGTATTCTTGTACGATACAAGAAAGATTCTGTAATGGGTAGGTAAATTTATTTAATTGTTGTATGTAATTTTGTCATAGTCTGTTTATGTTGTATGCTGAATAAAGCTTTCTACCTGCAATGTTTGTTTTATCATTCACAGTTGTGCTACTGCAAAGCATACTTATTCTACTTCTTGTTTGGACAAATGTTTGTTCACGTTCATGAATATATGTTGTCTGCATGACTCATACCTCTTGCTTGAAGTTTGAGTTTTTCACATGTTGACTTGAAGTCCCTGCGAGCTGACAAGTGTGGGATCTTAATGTGAACTGATGCTCTCAGAGTTGTGCCCAGGTTAGAAGGGCAAAAGGTCAAATATCCCAGGCGGTCATCCCTGGTGAAAGTGAGTTTTTCTTCCAAAGATTTGATAGCCTGTTTAATAGAGAAAAATATAAAGAAAACGTTTAGGATAACTTCAAGAAAGTGGTGTTTTGAGAAGTGTTAATATTACTGACATGTTACAGTGAAGTTGAGCATTGAGTAAAGAAATGACATCACAGCACTCAGGACATTCCCACATGTGCTCCATCCTCATCTTCAGCAGCCAGTGAAGAGTTGCAATTCTTATGGTGCTAGTTGAATTGAGTTGAGCTGAGCTGAATCAAGAATTGACATCACAGCACTTGGGGCCTTCCAATGCACTCTTCATCCTCATCTTCAGCAGTCAGCGCAGAGTTCAATTACTAATGGTACCAGTACTAGTGGTACTGAGTGTAGTGGGCCAGCCAGACCCTCTGGTTACACCCAGATGTCTCATTCTCTCTAGGATTTTTCCCTGAGTGTAGAGTGTTGACCAGATTCCCCTGGTCATACAGTAAAGTAGGCTGGTAAATGTATATTTTATGATTATTCTTCCTCTACATTTATTGTGGAACATTGCTGTCTGACTGTTGTGTGGGGAGAATCCTTCTTTATCCTCTTCATGTTGCTGCTGACTTATGTCATTTTACATTTCTTCATTTACCTTTCTACTCTTCTTCTCCAGGTTTTCTTAGGTCGTCCATGTCTCCTTTTTCAGAGAACTGTCTTTGCCAAAGTGCCACACAACGTTCTGCAAACATCTAAACCATCTCCATCCTGCTCCTTTGATAACATTTGCCAGTGAAGAATACTGTGTTTTCCTCCTCAGTTCTGTATTCGTAATCTTGTTCAGCCAAAACATTTGCAGAACTCTCCTTAGACATTTAATCTGAAAAGTCTCTAGTTTATGTGTAACTGCTGCAGGTAATCTTTCCAGAACTCACTGTTGTATAATAGTATTTCTATAATGTTCATCTGGTATAATCGGAGTTTTGTCTTCAAAGTAAGTCTGTTTGATTTCCATTTATTGTTTTAAGAATCCCCATGTGGAGTAACTTTAATGGGCCAATAAAATTTATAAGAAAGACCAAATCATATTTTAAAAATCTAGTGCAATGAAGTGGATCCTCTCGATTGTAAAGCTTAATAATCCATCCCATACACCTAATGTGTAATTACATAAATGTATGTGAACTCACAGTGACCAGTCGTTTGTAGACAGTTGCAATATCTCCACCCTTCTGCATTGAGATGATTCTAAGGTGGTCCTCTTCATTCACCCACACCAGAAAAGTTTTATTTTCATTGAAGAAGATACCTCGTCCCGAAGGCCAATCATTGTAGCCACCTGCTGCTTTCAAGAACCTAGAAGAACATTAAAAAATCATTTTAAAAACATTGCTCAGCAGCTCTAGCTCACCACCATTAATAAAGATTGCATGTCGATCATTGGCAACATAATGTGTAGAGCATTAATAAAGATTGCATGTCGATCATTGGCAACATAATGTGTAGAGCGTTAATAAAGATTGCAGGTCAATCATTGGCAACATAAGGTGTAGAGCATTAATAAAAATTGCACTTGTGAACTGAACAACATAGTGAAATAAACATCTGACCTTCAGAACACGAGGCAAATGTCTTGACCACTTTGCCACGGAGACCCCTATTTGGCTTGATCTCTATTTGCAGAGTTAGGCAATAGCCAAAAGCATCACACAAAGCACACACTCCAACGTTCCATGGATCTCTAAAAACTAATGTACACATAAACCAAACGATGCCGCTCAAAAACTGATGCCGCTCAAAAACTTAACTCATGCCATTCCAGTGCAAGGCAAATAGATGGACTGTTTCTTCTTCTTCTTCTTCTTTAGCAATGAACATTTGCTATGCATTTATTCCACCATGGGTCACAAATACAGCTGTGCACTTGAGGTTTTCTGCCACTGAAAACAAAAATATCTTATTGTTCTGTGCTTGTTCCTACTAAGACTGCTGGTGTATTGTAGTTTACAGCTAAGCTGTGATATCCTTGCCTCAAATTTCAGCCAAGCCCTAATTAACACCTTTTTACTACATTCTATTCAACCTCATTCCCCATAGGGTCCCGATCCCACAGGTGGAACAAAGAAATAATTTGTTTTCTAATATCAGTCATGAAAAATAAGATTGCTTGTGGTCTTACCTATCACTATCATTAAAAAGGAAATGCTCCTTGGTCAGCTGTTCCTGGGTTTCTTTGGTCATTCCTTCCAGGGGATGGTATTCCCCCTTCAGCTCATCTGTCAGGCTAAGTAAGGCATCTACTGACTTTCTTTCCATATCAATGCGTTCCTATAGAAATTATTTTTGTGTGTATGGGTAACAATATTATTTAACTTGCCAATTATGGATTAAAAAACAAACAAATAAATATCAGTCTTTTGTAGAGTGGAAAATTGATGGTAGAAAAGAAGTAGATATCAAGGGGTACTAGACAACGTAGAAGAAAAGTGCTAAAATGATTAACCAGATTACGTTTACTATATTATAATCGTCAAAGACTGTTACATGCATAAGCAAATAATTACACTAAATTGAACAGAAAATTACCTGATTAGTATGAAAGAAACTATATGACCTACAAAGTTACAAATGTGGCTAGCAATCAGTACTGGCCAACTGTTACTCCAAATTCTCAGATGCTGCTTATTCATGTGTGTTGATGGTTTCTGTCCCAGGCTGTTGTTTCTTCAGCTTGTTCTGTCTGAATAAGTTTTTATTCTTCTTCTGCCCTCAGATAGGTGGTTGCCGCATTGTTTTGTGATTTACAGCTAGGCTGTGATATCTGCGCCTCTGATCTATGGCATCAGATCCAATCAAACCCTAATTAGTTGCATCACTTTATGACATGCTTGTTATGCGGCAGTGGGTGGTTTATTCCTTCTCCCCCCCCCCCCATTTGGGCTTTAAAACCCACATGCAAAGAAAATGTATTGCCAGTCTTAGTAAAATAAAATTAAAACTTCACTTTAATGATATACTGTATTCTGAGAAAGTATACATAGAATTCTTTTTATCTTTACATTTTTGTATTTTACATTAAAAATTAACACTTTTATTTGTACATGTAACATTCAACATTGAATAGCCTACCTCCTTTTGAAGAATGGGGGGAAAGGCAAAATCTTTGTGGGACCTCCCAACTCTAATTCGTGTGGAAACAACAAACTGTCCTTCTGGATCCAGGTCAGTGAAGCCAAGATTTTCAAGATCCCCAAAATCAGATGCTGGGTGTGAGATGGGATCACTTGGTTTCAGCTTGTGGTAGTCCTTAATGACAAGGTCAAAGAGCAAAGCAAATTCCGTATATGATTCAGGGTCTGCAGCATACAGACCAATCCCACTGTCCAGATTTAGGACACCTATAAAGGAAAGTAGAGTATAGTAGGAATTGATTAATTACTAACATACTGATACAGCTTACATTCTTAGTACTTTACTAAATTTAATATAAAGAACGTTTTACAAATGTACTTGGGTACACATAGCTCAATCATTAATGGCAGTTGAACTTGTCTTCACTTTTTGTCTTCACTTTTGTTGGATATTGGTTGTCTCAGCATCCATATCATGCAGATGTAAGAAAACTGCTACTTTTACTGGGGTCAGGTCGGCGTCTGTGGCTTAGGTGATGCAAAAGCGCTTTGTAATGCCGGGGTGCCAGGTTCAATGCCAGCTGCAGGCCTTGTGCCTAGTGTTGGTTTCGACAGTGGTATCGAGAAGCCAACAGTCCAGAAAGCAATGGCAAACTACTGTACATCGAGTTGCCTAGAAAAACCACAACAGCAAAAAAATGCTGGGGTTGGTTCTGCAATGTCCTGTAAAGGAAACACAACTAACTTTTAGAACAGGGGCCGGATGAAAAAATTACTTCATAGCAAAAAACGTACCAGTTAATGAACATCACATCTTTTCCCATACAGGACTACATGTTACACCAGGTTTGTGTAGACTTATAACTTCTTCGGAGGCTAAACATAGTATCTGTGATCTGCCCTACTGGTTTGTAATCCAGACTCAGATTTAGTCATTTCAGAGTGGTCAAAACTATTATAGGTAGCAACCCAGAAAGGGAGATTAGAGAAGGAATCAAGTTAAAGAATACTTGTATGTCTCTGAGTTTCACTACCTGGTAATCAACTGAAGTCAGAATGCACATGCCTGAGATGTGAGGAACCAACAAATAAGCTAGATCTATAAATGTGCATGAAAAACTCAAGTTCTGGAAACAAGACTCAAGTTCAGAAGTGGACAAACAACTATAGTCCATTCCAAAAGTCCTTCCCAACTTAAAAAAATCTGTAAACACAGTAACCGTTCAGTGTAAGTTGTTGTAATCTGTCATGAAGCCTGTAAATAACCATAGCCTTTTGAGATTATATTTTTTTAATGTAAACAAACATCTAGTTTTCTTTTTGCCTTATTTGTAGTAAATGCAGAAACAGACACCCATGCAAAGCAAACAATCGGCATGCTTATATTAACTTGAGTAAACTGAGTAAGGTGAACTTCTAAAAACATTTAACTGCATATGTTTCAAAAACGTTTCACTCTCAGATGGTCATCTACAGCATTAAACTCCCAAGAGTTGGGGATTTTTCACTGAGTGGTGGATAGGCTAATAAAATAATCACCATACATCGCTGCACACTTCAAATGATTTCCAAACACGTGTGTCAATTACTCTATATAATATTTTAAATTCATTTTTAGTCAAACAAAGAACAAAGATATTCATCGCTTTAAGAAAACAGCAGCACCTGCACAACTGTAAATTATAGAATCATAAGGAAGTGGGAAATCAACGGCCACATGCCTAAATTTGTGTTGATCCGTACTGGAGTTTTTGAAATATCTGTTAAAATGTTAGGGCATGAGTTTTGAAACGCACTATAGAACTTTTTTGCCAAAGTTTACAGCCAGCGAATGCTAAGAATAAGGAGAAGAAGACTACCAGTTAAAACGGTCTAATAGGTTGAAACACAACCCTGCTCAATCAATAATAACAACTAAAACAACAAACCGATACATACAAATCTGTCATTCAAACATACTGACCTGATATGATACAGTCGCCCAAAGTAGCTCCCCGTGATGTTTTTTTGTCCTTGAGTTTCTCAAAGATATCCTTGGTCAGATGTTTCTTCAGCAGTGACTTGCAGTTCTTGGCTTTACTCAGATGTTCAAACATCTCATCAACATTTTCAGGCCGCCTGTCAACATTACAACCAAATGTAAATATGCCAACCGTCTTTTATGGAAGATGTCAAAGGACAAACAAGTAGCCTATTCATGTAGATATTAGTTGGCTTAAATGTTATCCAGTTTAAAACTCTTTAAATCCCATAATGTTTTTGCAGCACTTGCCAACAAGAGTGTATATCCACTATGTATACATAGATTTCTTTCAAAAAGACTAATTATATAATGACAGTGGCCACTGATGATAAACAGATTTCTTTACCCTGTTCTGACAATCTGTACATCTTATATCTATAGATCAAGAGAAGGCATTTGATCGAGTCAACAGATGCAAACTATGGAGAATTCTAGAAGATTATGGTATTAAGCTAATAGATTCAATAAAAAATTGTTTATCTACATTTTTTTTCTATTTCTCAAACAAATAAAGATATAAAAAGGGAGTAATCAATTTTTAAAAAATGTATCCGGTGCCTTGTGCAGTGACCCTGTGACCTCTATCACTAAGGTTAACAGGAAAATGTGACAAACTACTTGACTTAAAAAAAAGATATTCAAATCAAGGAACTTCCTCTTCACCTCCTCTCATGCTACTTGTAGTTTATGTATAAATATCCTGACCTCCTAAACGTTTGTGCAGGTTGTTCAAACATCCTAGTAGCGTTAAATATACATCTCGTAAACAGATTACTATAGACAAGTCAGAAAAATAAGATTTATGGGGAATTAGACCTAATGGAAAGTGTTGGTGTTACAGCTTTGGGCCAGTGTTACAGCTTCTCAGTGCGACACCACCTTGTTGGGAATTTAGCCACACCATCCTTGGGCCAGCAAAAAAATTCTAGCCACTGTGCTACTGCAGCTCTTACATACGCTTTAGATGACTAAATACAAAGCTGGTACAGTCTGAAGGTTTACGCAATATCATAATTTAAACACACATCTTATATACAGATGCTGTAATGTTGTTACCATGCTAGCTCTTTCTCTTGCTTGAGAATCTCCTTGACACCACTGTACATTTCTTGAACTGCCTGAAATTCTGTCAGGCCTAGACGTCGTTTGTTGGAGATGTCATAGACACCACCTTCACTTTCTGTGTGCTCTCCATGGATGCCTGAAAAACATTACAAGCTAATTACTGACTTAACTCTTTCAGTACAGAAGGTAGAAAACACAATCATGATTGCACTACTTTCAAAAAGATTAGATATACAGTAGAAATGCCCCATTGTAGTAGCCAGATTTCTTTAGCTTGCTATGACCAATTGGCAAAAGTATGAGATCACATTAGATGAAGGTTGGGATTCATATATATATATATATATATATATATATATATATATATATATATATATATATATATATTGTATATGTATGTGTGTGTGTGTGTGTGTGTGTGTGTGTGTGTGCGTGTGTGTGTGTGTGAGAGAGAGAGAGAGAGAGAGAGAGAGAGAGAGAGAGAGAGAGAGAGAGAGAGAGAGAGAGAGAGAGAGAGAGAGTCAGTCACATATAATATGCTGTTTGGGACTGAAAGAGTTGAGAATCAGCATTATAACACACCTGGGTTACTCAGTGATGCTCTGTCTTTCACAACAAATGTCTTATGGTGTAGATTCTGACTGTTCCAGTAGCACATCGGTTTCATGTCACATTCTTTATTTCATATGTCCCTTCTTATCGGATTCACACCTAATTATGCATTTTCTCAACCTTACACATGCTGTTCCATTTATCGCATCTTCAGAATATCTGCCTTATCCAGTATGAGTGTTCACTGTCTGGTATTCCATTTCATTCTAACATGTGCAATATTTTTTATAGCGTGCATGAAATCAGTCCAGCACCCCTGGTCTCCCTCAACAATTTGTAATACTCTACATCAGTGTTGTAATACAGGGCTATTCAACCAAGTTATCTCAGGGACCAAAATGTTGAAAATGGGGATCATCATGGGCCACAGGCCCTAGCCCCAGCGTAGAAAGATCACTGATACAAAACAACTGGCAATGATCCGTGGGCCACTTGCTAGGCTGCCAGATTCAGCAACAGGCCACAACTTGAACAGCCCTGTTGTAATCAATGCAAATAAGTTTGCTTCCAAATCACCTCGGCTGAATGGAACAATATATTTGGGAATTTAAAAAAACATATTCAGAACCAGTAAGTCACACATAGATAGATGAAGATGATTATTTGGTGATGAAAATCAAAAGAAATTATGATAAACATGATAACAATATGAAATAGGAAATTATAAGCAAACTAAACAGCCATCAAGTAGACAAAAACATTTTTATGCATTGTCTGTAATGAAAATCCAAACACTGGATTTTTGATAACAGCGGATAAAAGATGTAGTATTATGTTAAATGGTAAAACATGATTTTGAATTGTAGAACATAATTCCTAAAGTTTATACATAATAGAACACAACTCCTTATCCATATGAAGTTACACATCATTCTGTTTTACATAAGAAACTCATAAGGAAACAATCTTTGGAAAAAACCATAAGGAATGAATTTTACTTTTCAATTTTGGTTTATAAAAGTAAACAATAAGGCAGAGAAGAAGGACATAGAGCGAAAGGCAGACCAAGAACAATATGGAATGATAACATCAGAGAAACCCTACAGCAGTATGATGTGTCTAAGATCAAAGCAGCCAGAAAAGACAGAAGTAGAACCTTACATCTCCCTCCACACCTAAAGTGGTCAGAGAAGAAGTTAAGAAGAAAAGAAGATAAACAGTTATATGATGTGACCAATACCTCTAGCCTGTAGATTCAGTTTATCGCACAAGGACTTAAACTTGTCGGAGGCCGCCAGTAGTGGGATTTTGATGTGCACTGATGCTCTCAGCGTTGTACCCAAATTTGATGGACAAAATGTCAAGTATCCAAGTCTATCATCTCTGGCAAACTTGAGTTTCTCCTCAATTGTTTTCACAGCCTGAAATGTAGAAATTTTTGCCTGATGTAACTTCTAAATGACTTCATTATACATGCACAGTTTTTTTTTTTAATGGTGGTACACAAGGGTAAGCAGTACCCACACCTTTGTTTGCATCCCTTTTTTCAATGCTACAATAAAGTAAAAAAAGAAGTAAAGGACTCTTTTCCATGCCTTCTGGCATATATGGCATATAGGGCTAGACCTATATTTTATAGACCAGTCTGCACAAGATGGGTGACTTTCTTTAGACACTGTTGTGAGTACTGGTACCTTTCTTTAGACACTGTTGTGAGTACTGGTACCTTTCTTTAGACACTGTTGTGAGTACTGGTACCTTTCTTTAGACACTGTTGTGAGTACTGGTACCTTTCTTTAGACACTGTTGTGAGTACTGGTACCTTTCTTTAGACACTGTTGTGGGTACTGGTACCTTTCTTTAGACACTGTTGTGAGTACTGGTACCTTTCTTTAGACACTGTTGTGAGTACTGGTACCTTTCTTTAGACACTGTTGTGAGTACTGGTACCGGTGTATACATCAACGGCTGTATTTGGGAATATTAAGTAGTGAAGACATAATATCTTCCATGGTGTGACTCTTGTACCACAGTCTAAATTCTATGACAGTAGTATTCTTCAGCTGAACAGACTGCAAGGATTGTGAAAAGCATTAATTAACCTCTAAGTCACAGAGCCGCACAACTTTCTCAAGCCTACAACTTACATACCTCATTTTTCCTTGTATAATACCATATGTTTTCCCACATTTTTTCAGTCTGATTCTGGGGTGGGTGGGTGTAGATGTTTCTTATACAAGATATGTTTAAAATATTTGTTTAATAATTTTGCGCTAATAAAATCGGGGTTCTCTTAATCATGGAGATCTCTTAAACAGAAAAATATGGTTAATTAATTTGTAAATCTAAAACTTAGGGCACAGTCAACTTTCCCTAATCTAGACACACTAAAAGTAAAAGACTATTGTTCACTGCATGAAGGAATTTGCATATGTGGTGCTGCGACCACATTTTCACTGACCAGTGAGCACTGATGGCTAATATTTTCAAGACTATTCTGGCCACCTTTACTTCCATGAATATTTCTTGGTACTCACTTTTAAGCCAGACAGACCAGGGAGTTACATTAATTTGTTAACAAATCCTTTAGCACATGAACAGCGAAATGAGAGGCAACCGCTTTGCACTGATTTCAACAATGATATGGAGCGTCAAATTTTGACAGAGGTCAGGGGTCCTGGAGGATTAGCCACTGCAATACCTGCGTAGGTTGCATGGGCCCTATTGGGGGGAGGCGAGGGGGGGGTTATTAACCCACAGCCCCCAACGAGCATGTCGTAAAAAGTAACTAACTGAGGGTTTGCTGAAACTTGATGTGTTGGTCTGAAAGGTACAGATATCACAGCCTAGCCTGAAACCATAACAGAACGTACCAACTGCTCTTAAGGGTAAACAAAGACGAATTAATTCACAAATAATTAGAATAGATTTTAACTGTCAAATAATTTATTCTAAATACTCACAGTAACCAGCCGTTTATACACAGCTCCTATATCCCCTCCTTTCTGCATGGAGATGAGTCGCAGGTGATCTTCTTCATTGACCCACACTAGAAAAGTTTTGTTTTCATTGAAGTAGATTCCCCGACCTGTGGGCCAGTCGTTATAACCTCCAGCAGCCTTCAAAAATCTGCAATCCACATAAAACATATATTATTCTAGTACTAGTGAATATATATTTGAAGAACTCAAACTAGTGAATATATATTTGAAGAACTCAGACTAGTGAGTATATATTTGAAAAACTCAAACTAGTGAATATATATTTGAAGAGCCCATACTAGTGAATATATATTTGAAGAGCCCATACTAGTGAATATATATTTGAAGAACCCATACTAGTGAATATATATTTAAAGAGCCCATACTAGTGAATATATATCTGAAGAGCCCATACTAGTGAATATATATTTGAAGAACTCATACTAGTGAATATATATTTGAAGAACTCATTCTAGTGAATATATATTTGAAGAACACATACTAGTGAATATATATTTGAAGAACCCATACTAGTGAATATATATTTGAAGAACCCATACTAGTAAACATATATTTGAAGAACCCATACTAGTGAATATATATTTGAAGAACTCATACTAGTGAATATATATTTGAAGAACCCATACTAGTGAATATATATTTAAAGAAAACACATACTAGTGAATATATATTTGAAGAGCCCATACTAGTAAATATATATTTGAAGAACTCATACTAGTGAATATATATTTGAAGAACTCATACTAGTGAATATATATTTAATGAACTCATACTAGTGAATATATATTTAAAGAACCCATACTAGTGAATATATATTTGAAGAACCCATACTAGTGAATATATATTTGAAGAACTCAAACTAGTGAATATATATTTAAAGAAAACACATACTAGTGAATATATATTTAAAGAACCCATACTAGTGAATATATATTTAAAGAACCCATACTAGTGAATATATATTTATAGAACCCATACTGATGAATATATATTTAAAGAACTCATACTAGTGAATATATATTTAAAGAACCCATTCTAGTGAATATATATTTGAAGAACCCATACTAGTGAATATATATTTGAAGAACTCAAACTAGTGAATATATATCTGAAGAGCTCATACTAGTGACTGTATATATATATATATATATATATATATATATATATATATATATATATATATATATATATATATATATATATATATATATATATATATATATATATATATATATATACATTTGAAAAAATCAAACCAGTGAATATATATTTGAAGAACCCATACTAGTGAATATATATTTGAAGAACTCATACTAGTGAATATATATTTGAAGAACTCATACTAGTGAATATATATTTGAAGAACTCATACTAGTGAATATATATTTGAAGAACTCATACTAGTGAATATATATTTTAAGAACTCATACTAGTGAGTATATATTTGAAGAACTCATACTAGTGAATATATATTTAAAGAACTCAACAGTTCTGTGTACTATTGGTACTTGCAGAGCTCAAAGTTCTAGACATTTCTGATGCTTGCAGAACTCAAATTTATATATACTTCTGGATACTATATCCCTAGTACATAAAGACTGGGATGGTGAACAAAGTGGAAGAATCTATAAATATAAGTTACTTGTAAAGGAAGACCAGAGTGTGGGGCACACATGGAGTGGGTTCAGCACACGATATACAACACCATATTATAACAATGATATATTATAACAACAAGAAAGGCAAAGGATATAACCTCCGGCCACAGACAAGTCGACAATATGAAAATCTAAGGAAAGGAAACATATAATTACTTGGGTGCAAACTTCAATTGCTCCAACATGCTGAGAGAGGAAATACAATCTAGAATGCAATCTGGAAATAAAGTATACTATGCCTTTCAACACCTACTATAGTCAAGTCTCTATCTAGCAACACCAAGACAAAATATATGAAACGTCAATAAGATCTTTTGTTTTATAATATTTTTTATTTCACAGCTTAACTAAAAGAGGTGAAGCTGAGTTAAGTTTTTGAAAACTCAGTGTTACAACAAATCTTTGCACCTATCAGAGGGACTGGAGAGTGAGCAGCGTCACAATCTGTTTAAATCACCACTGATCACTGTCATCATGAGAGCTAATTGACTTAGATGGTTGGGGCATATTGAGAGAATGTCAGATGACAGAGAGATAAAAACTGAATACACACGGGAGTTGAATGGTTGTAGACCACGAGGCAGACCAAGAAGACAATGGAGAGATAAATTCAGACAAACCTATAAACACTTGATGTCACCACCTGGAAAGAAAAGACCAACCAGAGAGATGAATGGAGGCGGGTGATATCTGCAGCAATGATCCTCAAGGGCTTGGAATGCTGAAGAAGAAGAAAAAGAAGAAGAACCACCAGCGGCCGCAGCAGCAGAAGAAAAAGGAGAAGAAAAAAAAGTATTATTAATATTCAGCTTTACTTACCGGTCACTGTCATTAAACAGAAAATGATCTTCAGTTAGTTTTGCTTGGGTCTCCGTGTCCATGTCCGTCAGTGGGTGGTAGGTTCCTTTAAGCTCATCAGCCAGACTATTTAGAGCATCCAATGCTTTACTCTCAAGCTCTTTTCGGGACTAAAGAATTTCAGAAGAGATAACATTCACTGTTTTAAATATACTACGAGACTTGATATTTGCTTTTCCACTCCAATAACAGGCACCGTGGAGCAGAAGAATGTAAATCAAATATCCAAAAGACAACGGTAAGACACAGCCCTCTGTCATAAAAGAAGCATTTACAAAGATTAGCGCAAATGCTTTGGTCTTATTTGCATTCATGAAGACAGTACATCATCGTCTTAAAGTCAATGCAGTGTGGCGTCGGTAGTCATGGCTACCCACAACCTTCTGTCTCGTGTACTTTTAATCAAATCTAATACAGATGATCCTCCGTGTAATGACGTCAAGATGTCCGAATCTGTTATACGACAACAAAGAAGTGCATGGGCGTTCATAGCACGCTCAGCGGGCAGAACAATCAAAGAAGCCAGCGCTGCCTTCTCTATGACAACAAGTAGCATGACGATGCGGTAACGCAAGCATTCGTATGGCTAAAAACTCAAGACTGTACTCGTTGCGTAAACCCTGCGATTCCATGAGCTTGACCAGAAAGATCCAAGCAGGTTCTGTGCGAAGGCAGTGGATTGAGCCATTAAAGAAGTCCGCTGTGCTTAACGCTTAACGTCGTCGTTATCTTCGTTCCGGGGCACGCTGGCGTCGGTGGAAATGAAAGGGCTGATAAGTTGGCAAGATCCGCCATCATCATTGATGATCAAAACATTGATCATGCTGATATTATTAATGCCCTCAGAGAAGTGGGAAGGGTGAAGAATTTTTGAGACAGCGATTCCACATCGCTCACCAGAATGAAAGACTCGGGAGTTAAGATCGACATAGCCGAAAGCGGGAGACACACCGGGAATACAAAAATACTTATCAATCAACAAAGATCTGACACTATTAGTCACAGGACTCTGGTGTTCATACTTAAGGAAGGATCTGAGCACCTATGGACATGTCCGAAATGCAATGATCATATCCGAACTAACTAACTGTCCAGCATCTGTTCTCTCTGTCTCCCTCTGCCTCTCCTCCCCTCCTACTTTTCAACTCCAGTCTTCTCCTCATCGTGTGATCAAAGAATGTAGATTGTCTCTTTCTGGTGTTTTCAATCGGTTCTCTTTGTGGGTTAGTTTCTGTCAAGACATCATCATTACTCTTTTTTACCTGACCACGGTATTCTCATCATTCATCTATAAAACCACATCTCAGTACAGTACAGTACAGGTTAAGAAAAACAGTACAGCCAACAAAAAAAAATGTAGTAGCACGGAGGCGGAAATTAGTGCTTTTGATGCTGTTATCCTCCCTCCAACAACCTCAATGTGGTTAATTTTCTTGCTTCCTCTTTTTGTCCTCATGTGTTGAGAAAATATAGAAGGTTCTGCTTCTTCCTCGTCTTGTCGGTTCAACTGCGGACACATTATACTGCTGTGTTTCAGTAATGTTATCTGTCTAACTCTTGCTCTGCAGCCCTCTCCTCTTTTTTGAGTATGCTTTGTGTGGTATAGAGTATTCCATTGGCAAGACATTGAAGTGGCTGCTTCGGGATACGTCAGTTATGTGATTGTGCATATTCTTATGGTTTTGTTTTGATTTATGTATGTGCTGATGAAGGCTCTATAGCCGCAACCTTTACGTTTTGTTTGTGATTGCTATATTGTGAAGCTCGCTGATCTACCTCTCGTTCGATTTTATATCTTTCTATGGTACAGAGTAGCACGGAATCCTCTTTAAGTGTGCACACAATTTTAATTGCCGTCTGTGTATGTAAATTAGTTTGGGCTCTCATTCTTGTGACCTCAATCCTGATTTTATATTTTCTTGTCACTACTGCAGCCTTTCTCATACATGTAATTTCCATGGTGACTAATTTCGTTGTGCGGCTTACTGACTGTCACTTTCTTTAAATACATTCAGGCAGACACCTGACAAGGTGGGGGAAAATAACATCAGAACTCTACAGCAGTGTCAAGCGTTCATAGTCAAGGCGGTCAGAAAAACAAGAACCAAGAACTTTCCATCTCCCACCAGTGACGAAGCAAGGTCAGGGGTATACATTGCGAATATATCCTGTCTACTCCTCCCACCCAATCCCTCATTTTTTTCCCTCCCCCCTCCCACCCAAACACACACACACACATTAAAACACATTTGTGCCAAAACCGACGAGAAAGATACAAACTGACCATTCCCCCTCCCACCAACCCCAAGGAGTTTCCAATCGATCCATCACCGAAGCAACCTACCTCTGCAGTCAGAATGGGAGGGAACCCGTACCCCTCCTGTGACCTGCCCACACGGACCCTGGTACTGATGATGTACTTTCCCTCGGGGTCGAGGTCTTCAAGTTTGTGCTTCTCCAGGTCGCCAAAGTCAGAATGAGGGTGATGGATGTTCTTCTTCTCCGGCAGCTTATGATAATCTTTGACCACCGGATCCAGAAGCTCGGCAAACACTTTGTAGGCCTCAGGGTCACAAGCGTACAAACCGACTCCGCTGTCCAGATTCTGGCATCCTGTAGAAGACAGACATTGGATTTCAAACTTAGACAAATGTTGTGTGTTAGTTTTTCTTCTAAAAACAATGAAGTTTGTGAAGTTTGAACAACGGATCAACATCATGGCACACGAGTAGTAACCCATAAGCGCTCCGTTCTACTTCTAACTCCAGACTAATTCAGAAGAATCTCAGCGCAGTGTACGACCTCGGTAGCACCGGCGAGGATCCTGAAATACTTTGGGTAGATTTTTAACTCCCAATTTTGACCGGGCAGCGCCATTACGCAACTCTTTTCGATTTGCAACGGCTAAAATATTTTTGTACGTGCGACAATACACACCGGCGTCCGATCTCACTACCCAGAGACTAGGGTAAATTACTATGTCCACGTGAAAAAATCCCAGCCTTCACCGGCTTAAACCCGGGACTCCAGCACTCGAGGCGGACGCCATGCCTCTAGACCACGCAGCTCCCAGAAAGTCAATGCTGGGAGGCGTTAGTGGTCATGTCATATCCACAACCTTCTGTCTCGTGTACTTTTAACCAGTCCTGATGCCGATGACCTTCCATGTCATAATGTCAAACTGTCCAGCATCTTCTCTCTCGGTCTCCCGCTGCTTCTCTTCCACTCCATCTTTCCTGCTGTCATGATGAACTCCAGATTTTACATTCGCAGGGTATGACCAAAGAATGTATATTGTCTCTTTCTGATGCGGGCAATCAGGCGGTCGGAAAACGGTTTCTTTCAAGATATCTTCATTACTTTTTTTCTATCTGTCCTATGTACTCTCATAATTCGTATTTAAAGCCACATCTCTGCAGCTTCTAAATAATGGTTTACTAACCTACCAACTTTTTGGTTAGTTAAGGAATTAATAATGACACTTACACATTTGCCAACTATCATGCTTATATGTGCGGAAAACCTAGGAAAGGTGTTTTTATAGTAGACCCCACCCACCCCTCTTGTAACCCTCAATCTTAGAATTCCAGAAGTATTCATCATTCTTCGTCTGCTCTTTGTTCCTCGATAGACCATGGGGCCTCAACCAGTTGCTGCAACCATTATGTTATTCTTCCTAAGTTATATAAGCTCTCAGGTCGAACCAGTTTTAATTGAAAATAGGACTATGAATGAATCAATGAGTGAATGAATGAATGAATGAGTGAATGAATGAATGAACGAATGAATGAATGAATGAATGAATGAATGAATGAATGAATGAATGAATGAATGAATGAATGAATGAATGAATGAATGAATGAATGAATGAATGAATGAATGAATGAATGAATAAACGAACGCTTCACTCGAGACATTCCCACACTTGTCCCCGTCCCCTGCTTCAGTAACCAAAGAAAAAGTCGACATGCTAATAGTACCAGTTGCAACATAATGAAAAGTCCGCCTATGTTTCCCCCTCAGTGTTGAATATCTTCCAGTAGCCTAACTGGGAACGGGACATTTCTTGGTCAGTGAAGGTGTCCGGTGGGAGCGCTGTACCCGCATACCACTTCAGGGGAATACGTTAAAGTAAATAAACATTATAGTGTGTGCCACCTGCACAATGAAGGCTGGCTACCGTACCTGCAGTTCTCTTCAATGATAGATACTACGTCGTCAGGCCCCCAATCTCTTCCAAAGTGCAACTCTCGTAACACTGTCCGAAAACCACTAGAGCGGTTTCTTAAATTAACCACCCGCCGTGGAAATCAAATCCCGTAAGGATCATGCAATTGTCAAAAGGCGAGCGTCTAGCCGCTAAACCACAAAATGGTAGTGCCAAATGCAAAAGTTCGTAAATCTTTTCACCAGTACGTTGAAGACCGCCAGTCACTGACTGTTCACTCCCTTCTGAATCGTTACGTCCAGGAATTATGTGGCGCTGTCCACTTGACCTAAGACAGCCATTGCCACTTAACGCAAGATAGCCGTTGCCACCTGACGCAAGACAGCCGTTGCCACCTGACGCAAGATAGCCGTTGCCACCTGACGCAAGACAGCCGTTGCCACCTGACGCAAGATAGCCGTTGCCACCTGACGCAAGACAGCCATTGCCACCTGACGCAAGATAGCCGTTGCCACCTGACGCAAGACAGCCGTTGCCACCTGACGCAAGACAGCCATTGCCACCTGACGCAAGACAGCCGTTGCCACCTGACGCAAAGACAGCCGTTGCCACATCCGCTTTAACAGAAAGCTCGCTGCCCAGAGAAGAGGACATAGCTAACCTGTCAACCTTGCACCGCATACCCGAAGGTTTTGGGCAGAAAATCTATACGATGCTGATCCGATTCTCATCAAGTGATGCAAACCAATGTGTGAAAGGTATCAGTCAATTATGTTAGCATGTTATACGCAGGCTAATTCTTCTAAACTATGCACAGAACGCAGTGCCGGTACTGTGTAGGTATCACTGTTTCTTCAACTAAGGGAAGGGTTGGACTTGAGGTCGGCTACATCAACCTGTAAAAACAATAGCCACAAAAACCAACCAACCATGGATAAGTTGGGGAAAAAAAAAGCAAGTAAAACCCAGCCAACCAAGATGAGAGGAGGCTCTTTAAGTAGAGGAAGATGAGAAAGCCGAATGGAGTCCGGATTGTCGATATGCCTCCTGTCAGCTAGGAAAACGTCCATAATTGGCACCTGGAATGTTAGAACTCTTTATGATACAGGGAGACCAATGGAAGTTAGAGAGATGGGGAGAAAATGGGGAGAACTCCATGTAATAGCAAAGGATAGAACGACTTTGCGTGAGTTGGTTGAGGACCTATGCTTCATTGGGTGATAGAAAGGCAGAAGAAGAAGAACGAAGAATGTGAACCCTTTGCATCCTTTGGCTTTTGTGATTTCTATAGGCAAGTTTACGTCCAGTAGTTTGCCATTTCTTCCTGGACGGTCGGCTTCTCAATACCACTGTCGAAACCAAGGCAACGAGAAGCTATATTTCACCTACAAATGATTTTATTTTCCCGTCCTTTCACATGGTTCTCGGCTTATTGTTAGACCCAGCCGTTTACTCGAAGAATCCCGAGTAGGTATTCGTTGACAAACAGAACAGACATAAGCATTTATGTATCCAGAATTTCCAAGGCGAGCTACAAGTGAGTTTAATCACGTGAGATTCTTCACCTGCCCTGCTAATGGCATACCTTTCTGAAAGAAACACAAGCCAGACACCCCTTAGCTCGCACGCAGGTACGCATTCCACCGTAAGGAATAACTTGATGCAAGGGATCGCACACGCTCACTTATATGAGAAACGAATAGTTTGTGGCGGGGTAATTAACATGTCGTTGGAAAACAATGTTCTAAAAATAAAAATAAAAGCAAAAGACTTTTTCGCACAGCTTGCTCTTCAGGCAAATGGCGCTAGACAGGTAGTTTTATAGTTCACCTGGCATTCGATACGTGTTGTCTTCAGTAAAACGATGGCATAATTTCTTTTTATAGTGTCACCAATCTTTGCGAGTTAAAACTTCTGAGATCATGCAATTTTTCCCGTTTCAACTTATGGATGTGAGTTACCGAATCTTAGTCAATCGTTCATCGGAGCTTTTCAACTGAAATGCTACAGAAATATTCTCAGAATATCGTGAAACAAGTTGAAGAAAAATACCGACATCCTACAAGAACTGAAACATCGAGGAGAATTGGCTCAAAAATAGCATCTTTTCCAGAAAGCTCACCTAGTTTGGCCATGTTAAACATCAGGGTGGCCTGGATAGAACGGTGATAGATGATACAGTTTATGGGAAAGCGAGGCAGAGGCAGACCTCCGAGAGAGTGGATAAAAGACACTGATGATGAACTAGCTATGAAAGCACACAGGTCTGGAGAACTCGCTAGAGAGAGAGAGAGAGAGAGAGAGAGAGAGAGAGAGAGAGAGAGAGAGAGAGAGAGAGAGAGAGAGAGAGAGACTGTTAAGGATCTGCTGACTGAAGATGACACCAGTCTTAAGCTTGGACTATCTGGCAGCCGTAGGTTATTTTGAAAACAAAACACTTCGCTGCGGATCCGAAACCAAGATCTTCAGGTCAGCAGCACAAACGCCAAGCCACTTTGATTCCACGAGCACCTCTAACAGAAAGTAAGAAAGAAAAGCTAATATAGTTACTGCACTTATACCATTGTTAAGGAAGAGAGTAGGATATCAAAGCCTTTATTTCATACAATGAAGAACATCTTATACTATAACTTCCTCTTAACTTAAGGTCGGCTAAAGAATGTTTGAATTTTTTTTCATGTCTGTTAATGTCGAACATCCCATTATCGCCAGCACTAAAACAAGTTTACCATCAGCACTGCTACTTTGTTTTTTCCTTCTTTCGTGACGAACACACAACATCCTGTAACCTCCGTCTCTACCTAATTTGACAGGCGAGTGTCTAGCTTCGTTTTGCACAAGCTGAAGTTATACCTCCACTGTGGCAGTCTTCTCTCAAACCAACAGGTTCTACCCAGGGCTTTCTTTTTTTTTCCCGGTTAAAAAGAAAAGGCACAGGAACTGGCCACCAAATGTTAATTTAAAAAGTAAATAAAGTAAAGATCCCTTTTCACGCCTTAAGGCGTATCGGGTATATGGGAAAAGCGTCCAAATTTGTTACAGACCATCGGCACTAGGTGGCTAATGTGGTCAGCATTACGCCGGCCGTCTTTACTTCCCCAGGTCAACCTGCGACGCCCCATACCATGATAAAAAACCACGCAGCCAGCAGTGGGTTTCGGTCGCGGTACATTGTAATTACGAGTCGGACTCACAACGCCTAAGCCACGGACGCCGCGAATGTTCATTTAAAGAGAGCTACAAAATTTATATGTCAAAAAAGTGTGCCAACGCTGCGATTTCATGCAAGAGCTGCTTCAGCAAACGTATAGCCATTGTGTTAATATTGTTTGAAACAAACTGGGGAGGGGGAGGGGTGAAGGGGGGAGGGGGGTGATTAGATTAACCCGATAAAATCGTAAACAAATGATTTCAATTATTATTAGCCTAAAATGTTACAGTTAAG